CCAGCTCAGCCGCGCTACCGTGTAGCCTGGGAGGGGTGTGGGGGTGTGGGGCGGTGATGAGAGACCAGGGGTTCGCCCGCGCGTCTGGGTGTGTCCATGTGTGAGGAGGCACCACGTCTGGGTGTGTCTGTGTGTGAGGGGCACCGCGTCTGGGTGTGTCCGTGTGTGAGGGGCACCGCGTCTGGGTGTGTCTGTGTGTGAGGGGCACCGTGTCTGGGTGTGTCCGTGTGTGAGGGGCACCGTGTCTGGGTGTGTCTGTGCGTGAGGGGCACCGTGTCTGGGTGTGTCTGTGCGTGAGGGGCACCGTGTCTGGGTGTGTCTGTGTGTGAGGGGCACCGTGTCTGGGTGTGTCTGTGTGTGAGGGGCACCGCGTCTGGGTGTGTCTGTGTGTGAGGGGCACCGTGTCTGGGTGTGTCTGTGTGTGAGGGGCACCGCGTCTGGGTGTGTCTGTGTGTGAGGGGCACCGTGTCTGGGTGTGTCTGTGTATGAGGGGCACCGTGTCTGGGTGTGTCTGTGTGTGAGGGGCACCGCGTCTGGGTGTGTCTGTGTGTGAGGGGCACCGTGTCTGGGTGTGTCTGTGTGTGAGGGGCACCGTGTCTGGGTGTGTCTGTGTGTGAGGGGCACCGTGTCTGGGTGTGTCTGTGTGTGAGGGGCACCGTGTCTGGGTGTGTCTGTGTGTGAGGGGCACCGTGTCTGGGTGTGTCTGTGCGTGAGGGGCACCGCGTCTGGGTGTGTCTGTGTGTGAGGGGCACCGTGTCTGGGTGTGTCTGTGCGTGAGGGGCACCGCGTCTGGGTGTGTCTGTGTGTGAGGGGGCACCGTGTCTGGGTGTGTCTGTGTGTGAGGGGCACCGTGTCTGGGTGTGTCTGTGCGTGAGGGGCACCGCGTCTGGGTGTGTCTGTGTGTGAGGGGGCACCGTGTCTGGGTGTGTCTGTGTGTGAGGGGCGCTCGGGGACGTCTCACCCTGCGAGGCGGCGCGGTTCCAGTAGAGCAGCGCGCGTGGGTACGTCTCGCTCTCATTCACCACACGGGCCTCCTCTGTGCGGGGGGGGGGGGGGTGCACACGCGGGGTGCTCACCGTTAGGGTCACGCTGGGGGGGGTCACACGGATGGTAAGCGTGGAGCCTGGCAGCGCGATCTCGGGCGTGGTGGAGTCGGCGTCTCGTTGTTTGCGATTCCGCGCTCTCACCCTACAAGGCCTTGTTGAGCCTCGGAGGGTCCTGCCGTGTACCCGCAGCAGGGGGGCGATGCCGCTCCTGCCGCTGCCTCTGCTTCGTGCGATCCCAATTGAGTGATTTGCAGACAATGTTGTAGAATTGGGATGTTTGGCTGATACCGGTTACACTGTGCACGCGAGTTCAGCTACCGGAGGAAAGGGGAGAACCCCGGAGGAAACCCAGCAGAACAACGGGAGGAGGGAGGAGGATACAAACTCCACACACAGAGAGGAGCCCCAATCGGGAATCGAACCCAGACCCTTCTTGCAGGGGTGCCACCTAAAATCAGGGCGGGTGCCACGGTGGCCAGGAGATGTTCACTCCCTTGCCTGGTACACAGGAGGTCTATGTGGAGTCTGCGTCTCTCTCATCATCATCATCATCACGGTGGCCAGGAGATGTTCACTCCCTTGCCTGGTACACAGGAGGTATATGTGGAATCTGCGTCTCTCTCATCATCATCATCATCACGATGGCCAGGAGATGTTAACTCCCTTGCCTGGTACACAGGAGGTCGTGGGTGCGGTCCCGATCCTGACACCTGCTGCTGTATATTTGGAGTTTGCATGTTCTCTCTCTCTCTCTCTCCCCATGGTCACGTGGATTTTTCTTTGGTTTTTCCCTCCACGTTTAGAATCAACGTTGCGCGAGTACTTTGGCTGCGATACATTTCCACGCGACGACGACGATGATGATGACCAGCCGCCGCTTCGTTGAGCTATCATTTGTGATGGCCACAAAGAGCCACACAGCTCGGTGGGGCCTGACACCTGTTAGTCGGAGGGTGGTGGTGGTGATGGGTTTCTTGACGAGGGGGAGGAGGGGACGGGGGTCGGGGGGAGGGGTCGAGGGGTGGGTGGTACGGGGGACTGGGGGTGACGCACTGCGGTCGAGGATGAAGGCGGCGTTGCTCTGCGCCACCTCGTAGCCCTGCTCCGACAGCAGCAAGTAGCGCACCAGCGCCGCGTCCACGTTGCCCTCGCGGTAGGCGCCGTACGCGCCCATCATGCGCTCCGCCCAGCGGCCCCGCTCACACACGTTCTTGAACAGCTGGGACGCACACACGCAGATATAGGCCCACACGCAGATAAACACACGCGTATAGAGATAAAAAAACAGAGATACACGCAGACACACACATGCACAGATACACATACAGAGACACAGAGAGAGACAAAGACACAAAGATTGCCCCGTATAGCCTTAATAGACTTTTGGGGCAAGTTCTGTTAGCGAGCACCTATGAAGGCCGACACGGCACATGAGGGGGTAGGAGGCCAGCACCACTCCTAGCCGCCTTTGTCTCCCCAGTGGCGATGTTTACACACAAAGCATCTTGGCGGCGATGTTGTTGGTGGGTGGTGTTGGTGGGTGGTTGTGGTTGGTAGTGGTGGCGGGTGGTTTTTTTGGGTAGTGTTGGTGAGTGGGGGGGGGTGAGTGGTAGTGGGTGTTGTTGTTGGTGGGTGTTGTTGGTGGGTGGTGTTGGCAGGTGGTGTTGGCAGGTGGTGGCGGTGTTGGTGGGTGGTGGTATTGGTGATGGATGGTGGTGGTGGGTGGCGTTGGTCGGTGTTGGTGGGTGGTGTTGGTGGGCGGTCGTGGTGTTGGTGGGCGCACCTCCACGGCTGTGTGGCAGGAGCGGATGACGCCGGTGCCCGTGGCGTGCATCTGGGCGAGGTTGTAGAAGGCGAGCACGTGGCCCGACTGCGACGCCAGGTTGAAGTACTTGATGGCCATCTTGTAGTCCCGGCGCACGCCCAGCCCGTCTGCCACACGCAAAGACAAAGATCCCACACCCGTGTAGCCTCCACACACTGTTGGGGCGACGCGGTGGAGCGATGTTAACTCCCTCACCTGGTATACAGAAGGTCGAGGGTTCAATCCCGACACAGACGCCTGCTGTATATTTGAATCAGCATTGCGCGTTCGGAGTATTTTGGCTGCTAAAAATGTCCACACGATGATGATAAGCCACTTGGTTGGCAAGTTATTTGCGACCCGGTCGCATTTGGAAAAGGTCTATACAGAGCTCAGTGGGCCTTACCTGGTAAAATAAAAAGAGTTTATAGTTTTTAAAATCCTTTAAATCAAGTTCGCTTGCTTGCTTGCTTGCGTGCTTGCGTGCTTGCTTGCTTGCTACGACCGTGCAAATCTTTCGGTCGTTTTTTAACCCACTTCCCGTGATCCAATCGAGCTGACATTTTGCACACAGACTCGTTGTGCGAGACAATTAATGTTCGTGAAATTTTTTTTCCAAAATTTTACACTGTTTAGGGAAAACAAATTAAATATTTAATTACCAATTGCTTAATACTGGCAGACAATCATCTGACCCATAGGTGGCAGCCATCTCAAGCCAGAGGACGAGAGGACTCTAGCCGCCACGCATATAAAGGATTTATAGTGAAAAACTTTGTTTTTACGGGTTATACTTATTTTTATAGTTGGCGAGCGCCGATGAAGGCCGTCACGGCACACGAGGGGGTGGGTGCCCGGCACCACTGCTTGACGAACCCGGCTCACATACAACATCGGTGACAAATATCTGAACCGGTTTTGGGCCTCCCCTAGGTTAATCGAGCCTTAAATTAGCATACGGAACAGTGTGTAAACATCGCCACGGGGGAGACAAAGGCGGCTGGGCATGGTGCTGGCCACACCATCCTCTCATAGGTGCTGTGCCGTGCTGGCCATCAAAGGTGCTACTCGCTGGAAGCACTTGCCCCGGGGCAGCCTGTGCAAGCGACACGGGGGGGGGGGGGGGGACCTTTGTGTGTGCTTATCACAGTGGGGAGCGGTGGTGCAGCGGTGAGCACGCCGCGGTACGAACCCGGCCACCCGAGTTCGATTCCCACTCGCGGCCACCACCGACACCAGTGACGATTTTGGGAACCGTTCCTTGGGCCTCCACGAGGTTGACTCAAACGAGTACCCGGTGCGGTGTGTAAACATCGCCGCTGGGGAGACCAAGGCGGGCGGGTGTGGTGCTGGCCACCCACCCCCCTCGTGTGCCGTGCCGGCCTTCGAAGGCGCCGCGACTCGCTAGTTGTAGCACTTGCCCCCTACAGTCTGTGGAGGCTACGGGGGGATCTTTATCTTACTGTAGTACATGGTGCCCAGCTGCAGCTGCCCGTCCACCCAGCCCTGCTCCGCCGCCATCTGGAAGTACTTGAAGGCCAGGTCATAGTTCTGTGACGGGGCAGAGGCACGCGCAGACACAACGGTGGTGATTATTGTTGTTGTTTTTGATTACCGCTATCACTGCCGCTACCGCTGCTGTCGCTCGTTTACGAAACACGACTGGGGCTGTTAGGATTCTGAAATTGTGGCGCAGTTTGTAAGCCCCTCCGCAACCCCCCCGCCCCCACCCCATCGTGGAGAAGCGGCAAATTCACGAGAATTTCACCGGCGAGAGAACAACGAACTGCATTAGTGCCTTGCGAGACCGTCGGCAACGAACGATAACCTAACGACGTAGCGTTACGGTTATTGTCGTGGTTGGACATAATTGCGTCGCCGTCGTTCTTACGAAGGGTCTCTCACAGTCGCCGAGGAATTTCGCAGACGAGCGGGAGAGCAGCAGCAGCAGTAGGCAGGCAGCGAGGAGCCTGGCGCTACCAACGGTTGCCCAAAGCTCTGCAGTCCTCCACGCATTAAGATGTTTTCAGCCAATTTAGTGTGAATACACGCGAGAAAACAAAGGAGCACCCGGAGGAAACCCACGCGTGCGAGGGGGCAGCACTCTATCCCATTCAGAAGGGACAGATGGAGATTAGTCCACACTCTGCTGTACCACCTTCTCCTGGCAGAGCCAGGGGTACGGCTCCCTCTTTACTCCCACCCACGGGGTAGAAGGGAGTTTCATAACACCATCTCCGCGTGATCCACCAACCCTCGCTGCTATGCCTCCACAAGCAGTGGGTGGCAAGGCAAGCCGCATGCAGCAGCAGCAGCGGCAGCAGCGGCAGCGGCAGCAGCGTGGCCACCACCACCGGCGGCGACACCGGTGGTGGCGTCTTAAACAGCCACCTGCCGAGCTACCGGCAAACACCGCATATGCACACACACAGACACACACACACACAGACACACACACACACAGACACAACAACAACCATTCGCCACTAAGTGGCGGTGACGTCACCACGACGCTTGTGCCAGGCCATGTGCACCTTGAGGCCACGTGAAGTGTCGAACGCCCGCTGGCAGGAGGTCACGGGGCAGACCCAGATGCCACGGGTCGACTGACTGAGATGACTGGCCGATGCACCACCTGTGCCCCCTACTGTGCCAACTTTCTGTGTTTTTTATCCAACCAGGACTCCGCTCGTTGTTGTGAGCCTCGCTCCTCTGCCCAGTAGCAGCGTCCTTCACGAGCCTCCTCCACAAATGCCGATCTTGACACCGCTGGTACCAGTCATCGGCAAGCCCACTCAGCTCCACATTCTCTTGTACCACATCACTCCATCTCTTCTCTAGCCCGTGCAGCGCCCATTTGTGCCCCATCTATCCGGCCAAACAAAAGCTGTTTGGGCATGCGGGCTCCATGGCCCAGCCAGCGCAGCCTTGCCTGCCGGAGGAGCTCACTGATGGGACTGTGTCCAGATCTTTCAAGGATTTGTGCGCTCCTCACATGATCCAGCCTGGCTAAACCCAGGATGGATCGTAGACAGGCCAGCCTCAATGTTTCTAATCCATGAAGATGTTTCATTAGGGGGGTCCACGGTTAGGGGTGTCCACGGTTAGAGGGGTCCACGTTTCACACAAACACACACACGCACACAGACACACACGCACACACACACATACACACACGCGAGTGAGCCCCGCCGCGTGGGTACGCCGCCGCGGCGCAACCGCTCGCTCGGACGTGGACAAAGCGGCCCACAGGCGGCCAAGCGATGGTGGTGGGGAGCGGCGGTGCGGGGCCCCTCGTCGCTAGTGGCGGTGGTGCCCCTCGTCACTAGTGGTGGTGGTGCCCCTCGTCACTAGTGGTGGTGGTGCCCCTCGTCACTAGTGGTGGTGCCCCTCGTCACTAGTGGTGGTGGTGCCCCTCGTCACTAGTGGTGGTGGTGCCCCTCGTCACTAGTGGTGGTGGTGCCCCTTGTCACTAGTGGTGGTGCCCCTCGTCACTAGTGATGGTGGTGCCCCTCGTCACTAGTGGTGGTGGTGCCCCTTGTCACTAGTGGTGGTGCCCCTCGTCACTAGTGGTGGTGCGGGCCCCTCGTCACTAGTGGTGGTGGTGCCCCTCGTCACTAGTGGTGGTGGTGCCCCTCATCACTAGTGGTGGTGGTGCCCCTCGTCACTAGTGGTGGTGGTGCCCCTCGTCACTAGTGGTGGTGGTGCCCCTCGTCACTAGTGGTGGTGGTGCCCCTCGTCACTAGTGGTGGTGGTGCCCCTCGTCACTAGTGGTGGTGGTGCCCCTCATCACTAGTGGTGGTGCCCCTCATCACTAGTGGTGGTGGTGCCCCTTGTCACTAGTGGTGGTGACCCTCGTCACTAGTGGTGATGGTGCCCCTCGTCACTAGTGGTGGTGCCCCTCGTCACTAGTGGTGGTGGGGCCCCTCGTCACTAGTGGTGGTGGGGCCCCTTGTCACTAGTGGTGGTGGTGCCCCTCGTCACTAGTGGTGGTGGGGCCCCTCGTCACTAGTGGTGGTGGGGCCCCTCGTCACTAGTGGTGGTGGTGCCCCTCGTCACTAGTGGTGGTGGGGCCCCTCGTCACTAGTGGTGGTGGTGCCCCTCGTCACTAGTGGTGGTGCCTCTCGTCACTAGTGGTGGTGCCCCTCGTCACTAGTGGTGGTGGTGCCTCTCGTCACTAGTGGTGGTGGTGCCTCTCGTCACTAGTGGTGGTGCCCCTTGTCACTAGTGGTGGTGGTGCCCCTCATCACTAGTGGTGGTGCCCCTCGTCACTAGTGGTGGTGCCTCTCGTCACTAGTGGTGGTGCCCCTCGTCACTAGTGGTGGTGGTGCCTCTCGTCACTAGTGGTGGTGGTGCCTCTCGTCACTAGTGGTGGTGCCCCTTGTCACTAGTGGTGGTGGTGCCCCTCATCACTAGTGGTGGTGCCCCTCGTCACTAGTGGTGGTGCCCCTTGTCACTAGTGGTGGTGGGGCCCCTCGTCACTAGTGGTGGTGGTGCCCCTCGTCGCTCGTGCCGGTGCGGGCTGGCGCGCTCGCTGGCACCGTGGGGACTCACGATTGGCACGCCGCGGCCAAACAAGTACGCCATGCCCAGCCCACTCTGCCCCACGGGGTTGCCCTGCAGCACACACACAGAGACACACATTGAGATACACACGCAGATACACACGCAGATACACAGAGAGATACACACAGAGATACGCACCGAGATACACATTGAGATACACACACAGAGATACACACACAGATACACACGCAGATACAGAGATACACACATACGCACGGAGATACACATGTAGAGGAGTAAAATGGGGACGTGACGTCAGGTGTGCCGTTCAGTGTGATGACGTCATGTCTCCTAGGGTACTTAAGGAATACCCCGTGACGTAAGCGGGGTGACTGTGGGAACGGGTAGAGTAAGCAGGGTGAAGAGGGAACCAGGGGTGGAGAGAGGGATCGAATAGGGAGTCTGGGGAGAAGCCGGTGGTAGCCGTAGAGGTGCTTCTCTCTCCGCTCGGTGGAGTCGGCAGAGTCCACGATCCGACACGAGAGAGAGACCGGAGCTAGCCGGCAGGGACCTGGACTCAGAGTAGGACCCCTAGCCCCTGGGAGTTGTGTACCCTGCTGTGTAATATTGTAACAGCTTTAATAAACCCTGGCAAAAGCCCTTAACATACCTCCGTCTCCGAGTGAGTCCGTTGGAACTTCTCTACACACACACAAATACGCACCGAGATACACATTGAGATACGCACACGGAAATACACAGAGAGATACACACGAAGAAACGCACACGGAGGTAAGCAGACGGAAATAGGCACAGAAATATACATACGGAGATACGCATACGAGATACACACGGAAATGTGCATGGAGATACGCAAGCAGATATGTAGGGGGGGAGGGGGGGAGAGGGGAGGGGGGGATAGGGGAGGGGGGGAGGGGGGGAGAGGGGAGGGGGAGAGGGGGAGGGGGGGAGAGGGGGGGAGAGGGGGGGAGAGGGGGGGAGAGGGGGAGAGGGGGGAGAGGGGGAGAGGGGAAGGAGGGGGAGAGGGGGAGAGGGGGAGAGGGGGAGAGGGGAGGGGGGATCTTCACCATGTCGGCCGCCTTCTTGAAGTACTGGAACGCCGTCTCGTTGTTCTGGGGGACCACGTCCGAGCCCTCCGAGTGCATCTACACACACAAAGACAAAGATCCCCCGTGTAGCCTTAACAGACTGTTGGGGCAAGTGCTGTTAGCGAGCACCTGTGAAGGCCGGCACTGTGGCACAAGTAGGGGTGGGTAGCCAGCAACATGCCCGGCCGCCTTTGTCTCCCTAGTGACAATGTTTACACACTGCACCAGATACTCATTTGGAGGCTGAGTCGACCTAGCGGGGGCCCAGGAGCGGTTCAAATAATTGTCACTACCGTTGGCCATGAGTGGGCATCAAACTCGGGTCGTCGGGTTCTCAGTGAAGCGCAATAACCTGGCTATTTTGCGCCATCAAACACTCCACCCTCAACTCCCCATTGGTGATGGAGCAGTTGTGGAGAGAGTTGAGTTTTCCATACCTGGGCAGTAGAGGTCTCACCCCGAATCAACCGGGCGGCATTATATTTTCATCGGCTGATTAACGCTGTGTGGAAGCTACCTGGTCTTTCGCTCCACACGAAGCTTCGGGTCTTCTGGGCCACAGTCATGCCCTCCCATCTCTATGCTTGTGAAACGTGGACCCCTCTAATGGAACATCTGCACCGGTTGGAAACATTCAGGCTGGCATGCCCTACGATCCATCCTGGGTGTAACCAGGCTGGATTGTCTGAGGAGTTCACAAATCCTTGAAAGATCTGGACCCATTCCCATCAGTGAGCTCCTCCAGCAGGCGAGGCTGCGTTGCCTGGGTCACGTAGCCTGCATGCCCAGCAACCGCATGCCCAGCAACCGCATGCCCAGCAACAGCATGCCCAGCAACAGCATGCCCAGCAACCGCATGCCCAGCAACCGCATGCCCAGCAACAGCATGCCCAGCAACAGCATGCCCAGCAACCGCATACCCAGCAACCGCATGCCCAGCAACAGCATGCCCAGCAACAGCATGCCCAGCAACCGCATACCCAGCAACCGCATGCCCAGCAACCGCATACCCAGCAACAGCATGCCCAGCAACAGCATGCCCAGCAACAGCATGCCCAGCAACCGCATACCCAGCAACCGCATGCCCAGCAACAGCATGCCCAGCAACAGCATACCCAGCAACAGCATGCCCAGCAACAGCATGCCCAGCAACCGCATACCCAGCAACCGCATACCCAGCAACCGCATGCCCAGCAACCGCATGCCCAGCAACCGCATGCCCAGCAACCGCATGCCCAGCAACCGCATGCCCAGCAACAGCATGCCCAGCAACCGCATACCCAGCAACCGCATACCCAGCAACCGCATACCCAGCAACCGCATGCCCAGCAACCGCATGCCCAGCAACCGCATACCCAGCAACCGCATACCCAGCAACCGCATACCCAGCAACCGCATACCCAGCAACCGCATACCCAGCAACCGCATACCCAGCAACCGCATACCCAGCAACCGCATACCCAGCAACCGCATACCCAGCAACCGCATACCCAGCAACCGCATACCCAGCAACCGCATGCCCAGCAACCGCATACCCAGCAACCGCATACCCAGCAACCGCATACCCAGCAACCGCATGCCCAGCAACCGCATGCCCAGCAACCGCATACCCAGCAACCGCATACCCAGCAACCGCATACCCAGCAACCGCATACCCAGCAACCGCATACCCAGCAACCGCATGCCCAGCAACCGCATACCCAGCAACCGCATGCCCAGCAACCGCATACCCAGCAACCGCATACCCAGCAACCGCATACCCAGCAACCGCATACCCAGCAACCGCATGCCCAGCAACCGCATACCCAGCAACCGCATACCCAGCAACCGCATACCCAGCAACCGCATGCCCAGCAACCGCATGCCCAGCAACCGCATACCCAGCAACCGCATACCCAGCAACCGCATACCCAGCAACCGCATACCCAGCAACCGCATACCCAGCAACCGCATACCCAGCAACCGCATACCCAGCAACCGCATGCCCAGCAACCGCATACCCAGCAACCGCATACCCAGCAACCGCATACCCAGCAACCGCATACCCAGCAACCGCATACCCAGCAACCGCATACCCAGCAACCGCATACCCAGCAACCGCATGCCCAGCAACCGCATACCCAGCAACCGCATGCCCAGCAACCGCATACCCAGCAACCGCATACCCAGCAACCGCATACCCAGCAACCGCATGCCCAGCAACCGCATACCCAGCAACCGCATACCCAGCAACCGCATACCCAGCAACCGCATACCCAGCAACCGCATGCCCAGCAACCGCATACCCAGCAACCGCATACCCAGCAACCGCATACCCAGCAACCGCATGCCCAGCAACCGCATACCCAGCAACCGCATGCCCAGCAACCGCATACCCAGCAACCGCATGCCCAGCAACCGCATACCCAGCAACCGCATGCCCAGCAACCGCATACCCAGCAACAGCATGCCCAGCAACCGCATGCCCAGCAACAGCATGCCCAGCAACAGCATGCCCAGCAACAGCATGCCCAGCAACAGCATGCCCAGGCAGTTTCTGTTTGGCCGGACAAAGGGGGCTAAACGGGCGAGAGAAGAGGTGGACTGATGCACAACAGGGGGCATCTGCCAGTCATGTCAGTCAACCCACGGCACCTGGGTCTGTCCCGGGACCTCCTATCAGCAAGTCTTTGACACTTCACGTGGCCTCAAAGTGCAATTGGCCTGGCTGGTAGTGGTGATGATAGTGGTGGTGGTAGTGCAGTTGGTAGGGTTGTTGGTAATGGTGGTGGTGTTAGTGGTGGTGGTGGTGGTAGTGGTGATGGTAGTGGTGGTGATGGTAGTGGTGGTGGCGCCCCACCTTGCCAAGGAATGCCAGCGCGTTGCCATTTCCGGAGCCCGCCGCTTGCCGGAAGTAGTCAAATGCTTTCTGTAATGACACGGAGACCCAGACTCATACAGAGATCCACAGGTTCACACAGCGACCCACAGACTCACACGGAGACCCACAGTCTCATACAGAGACGCACAGGTTCACACAGAGACCCAAAGACTCACACAGAGACCCAGACTCATACAGAGATCCACAGGTTCACGCAGAGACCCACAGACTCACACAGAGACCCACAGTCTCATACAGAGACGCACAGGCTCACACAGAGACCCACAGACTCACACAGAGACCCACAGACACGCACAGAGACCCACAGACTCGCACAGAGACCCACAGACTCACACAGAGACCCACAGTCTCACACAGAGACCCACAGACTCACACAGAGGCTCACGCAGCACCCTCACCTGGAAGTTCTGCTCAACCCCACGGCCGCCCTGCAGGTGCAGCTGGCCCAACCCCACCTGGTCATGACGGGGGACACGGGGACATACACACACGAGCGAGCGAGTTGGCGAGAGGGCGATTAGAAGAACGGGCGGGCAAGTGAGAGCAAGCGAGCAAAAGAGCAAGCGGGCGGGCGAGCGGGCGGGCGAGCGATCGCACCTGCGCCTGCACGTCGCCCTTCTCGGCGAGGAACTGGTAGTACTGGATGAGGTCGTCGTCCAGCATGGCCGAGCTGGAGCCGGGGGACTCGGCCTCGTCCAGCAGACGGATCCGCTGCACCACCGAGCCGCCCGTCAGAGAGATGTCACTCGCCACTACGGTCACACACACACAGTCACACACAGTCACACACACACAGTCACACACACACAGTCACACACACAGTCACACACACACAGTCACACACAGTCACACACACACAGTCACACACAGTCACACACAGTCACACACACACAGTCACACACAGTCACACACACAGAGTCGCACACAGTCACACACACACAGAGTCGCACACAGTCGCACAGTCACACAGTCACACACACAGCCACACACAGTCACACACAGACACACAGTCACACTCAGTCACACACAGTCACACTCAGTCACGACCCTGATGACGCCTGCCGCTGTATATTTGGAGTTGGCGTGTCTCCCTCTCTCTCCCCGTGGTCGCATGGATTTTTCTCCTCCTGTTTAGAATCAACATCACCATGCGTTTAGAGTTTTGGCTGCTCTACATTTCCATGATGATGAGGAGCCACTTCGTCGAGCTATCGTCTGTGATGGGCAGGCCGCTTCTGAGAAAGAGCCACGCAGCCGAGTGGGGCGTTGGCTTGTGGGGTGAACGCGCGAGTACCTTGGTTGGCCACGGTGCGGTAGTGAGTGAGTGCCGACTCGCAGCTCTGAGCAACCCCAACACCCGCCCAGTAGCGGTAACCCTGCACAAGGCACACGGCACACACACGCATGTAGCACACACAACATACGTAACATACACGGCACATGCACAGCGCACACACACACAACATACGTAACACACGGCACACACACGTAGCACGTATACAACTCAACGCATGGCACACACAGGCACATAGCACGGATACAACACACACACAACATACATAACACACACAACACACTCATACAACACATACACAACATACATAACACACACAACACACTCATACAACACACACACAACATACATAACACACACAACACACTCATACAACACACACACAACATACATAACACACACAACACACTCATACAACACACACACAACATACATAACACACACAACACACTCATACAACACACACACAACATACATAACACACATAACACACTCATACAACACACACACAACATACATAACACACACAACACACTCATACAACACATACACAACATACATAACACACACAACACACTCATACAACACATACACAACATACATAACACACACAACACACTCATACAACACACACACAACATACATAACACACACAACACACTCATACAACACACACACAACATACATAACACACACAACACACTCATACAACACACACACAACATACATAACACACACAACACACTCATACAACACACACACAACATACATAACACACATAACACACTCATACAACACACACACAACATACATAACACACACAACACACTCATACAACACATACACAACATACATAACACACACAACACACTCATACAACACATACACAACATACATAACACACACAACACACTCATACAACACACACACAACATACATAACACACACAACACACTCATACAACACACACACAACATACATAACACACACAACACACTCATACAACACATACACAACATACATAACACACACAACACACTCATACAACACATACACAACATACATAACACACACAGCACACTCATACAACACACACACAACATACATAACACACACAACACACTCATACAACACGTACAACAAGCATAACATACAAAGCACGCACACACACGCCACACACTCACACGCCACACACGGCATACACAGCACACACGGCACGCAGCACACATGCAACACTCATGACACACACCGCACACACACGCCACACACTCACACAACACACACGGCATACACAGCACACACGGCACGCAGCACACATGCAACACTCATTACACACACCGCACACACACGCCACACACTCATACAACACACACGGCATACACAGCACACACGGCACGCAGCACACATGCAACACTCATGACACACACCGCACACACAATACTGCATGCACGGCAACTTTAACACACAAATACACAGCACAACTGGATGACTGCCCCACTTACAAGGATCATGTGAGCCATCAGGTTTCCTCCGAGTGCCCCGAACGTGTAGTAGACCAGAGCCTGCGGAGCCACACGCACAGTAGCAGTGTCACAAACACCCAACACACACAGCCACACACAGCCACACACACAGCCACACACAGCCACACACACATCCACACACACAACCACACACAGCAGCAGCGCCACAAACACCCAACACACAGAGCCACACACAGCCACACACACAGCCACACACACAGCCACACACACAGCCACACACATCCACACACAGCGCAGCGTCACAGACACCCAACACACACACAGCCACACACAGCAGCAGCGTCACAGACACCCAACACACACATCCACACACAGCAGCAGCGCCACAAACACCCCGCATACAGCCACACGCAGCAGCGTCACAAACACCCAACACACAGAGCCACAGGAAGCCAAACAGAACCGGCGTGGGGTACCTTGGCCTGGCTGGAGTTGACGTTGATGCCGGTGGCGTACATGAAGCCCAGCGCCTGCACGGGGGTGGACACGGGCGGGTGGGGGGGCAGTAATGGGGGGGGGGGGTGGTGGTTACGGGGCCCAGTAGGGCACGACGTTTGCCAGACCATCGCAGTTCCACGGTCAATGCTAAATGATCACCGATAATTATTCATCCCCACCAGCACCACCACGACCATCACCACCACTACGCTCGCTTACCCAGGAAAGTCTTGCCAAGTCTCAAGACTCTTTTTCACGAGGCTCCTGCCCAGTGCTGTACGCAGAGTTTTGAACTTGATGGTCGGGCGCGACGCTGGCCACCCACCCCCTCGTGTGCCACAGTGCCGGTCTTTATAGGAGCTACTACTCGCTAACAGCACTTGCCCCCAAAATCTGTTTATGCTATATGTGGGATCTCTGTCTGTGTGTGATGTGTACACACACACGCACGTCCGTACACACGCACGCACGTACGAACGCACGCACACATACATATGTGCACACACGTACAAACATATGTATGCATGCACACACGTGCGGATGCACACGCGCACATGTCCACACACGCGCACACACACACAAACGTGCACACGCACACACGTACGTACACACAGATGTACACACGCATACACGCATACACACGTACACACGTACACACCGTCTGCGCCCTGGGGGAGCCGCCCTGTGCGAGCGTCTGCAGCGAGGCGAGCGCCGTGCTCACGTCCTGTCGCGCGTACTCCCCCAGCAGCGCCGCCATCGCCACCCGCTCGGCGGCGCGCATACTGCCCAGCTCCGCCGCATGCTCCAGCAGCTTGTAGCCCCTGCAGAGTCAGCAGCAGCAGAGTCAGCAGCAGCGCCAGCAGCAGCAGCGCCAGCAGCAGCAGAGTCAGCAGCAGCAGCGCCAGCAGCAGCAGCAGAGTCAGCAGCAGAGCAGCGCCAGCAGCAGCAGCAGAGTCAGCAGCAGCAGAGTCAGCAGCAGCAGCAGCGCCAGCAGCAGCAGTCAGCAGCAGCAGCAGAGTCAGCAGCAGCAGAGTCAGCAGCAGCAGCAGAGTCAGCAGCAGCAGCAGAGTCAGCAGCAGCAGCAGAGTCAGCAGCAGCAGAGTCAGCAGCAGCAGCAGATTCAGCAGCAGCAGCAGAGTCAGCAGCAGCAGCAGCAGAGTCAGCAGCAGCAGCGCCAGCAGCAGCAACGGTGGTGGCGGCAGCAGCAGCGCTACACGGCAGTGGTCAAGAACCGGCCGGTAGAGTGGGCGTCTCACAAGGGGAAGGGTCGAGAGTTCAAGCCCTGGTTGGGGGCAGTCACTCGGTCCCATCATCACCCCCCCCTCCGCTATCAATGAACCCGACGTGTTCATGCCTCCCCCACTGCGCCCCGCAGGGCTGTAGGCAGGAGCAGGGCAACCGAGGCCTCAATGCTCCTGTGGAGCGGCAGGAAGTCGCTCCGACTGTGGATGGACGGTAGCCAAAAGAGCAAGGAGAGACTTTTATTTTGAATTTGGTAAAAAAATACCTCAATATTCCCAATAGCCGCAATGCAGGCGGTTGTGAATACGAGACGGTGACGGTCCTTAATAAATAATGTCACAACGCAGTCCTCAATGAGCAGCACGATTGCCGACCCCTGACCTAGAGTATGGGGGAAGGGGGGATGTAGGGGGATGTAGGGGAGGGGGCCGAGCCCACGAAGCCACGAAGAAGCCGCCACACCGAGCTGGGTGCCAGGCCGATTTCCGGGCGGCCAGCACGGACAGATTCCCCGCACTCACGGAAACTACCACTACACAAACACACACACACAGTACACACTACACAAACACACACACACAGTACACACTACACAAACACACACAGCACACACACAGTGCACACTACACACACACAGTATAAACACAGCACACAGTACACACTACACAAACACACACAGCACACACACACACAGTACACACAGCACACACACAGTATAAACACAGCACACAGTACACACTACACAAACACACACACAGCACACACACACAGCACACAGTATAAACACAGCACACAGTATAAACACAGCACACAGTATAAACACAGCACACAGTATAAACACAGCACACAGTATAAACACAGCACACAGTATAAACACAGCACACAGTATAAACACAGCACACAGTATAAACACAGCACACAGTATAAACACAGCACACAGTATAAACACAGCACACAGTATAAACACAGCACACAGTATAAACACAGCACACAGTATAAACACAGCACACAGTATAAACACAGCACACAGTATAAACACAGCACACAGTATAAACACAGCACACAATATAAACACAGCACACAATATAAACACAGCACACAGTATAAACACAGCACACAATATAAACACAGCACACAGTATAAACACAGCACACAATATAAACACAGCACAAACACAGCACAGAGTGTACACAGCACACACACAGTGCACACTGCACACACACAGCACACAGTATAAACACAGCACACACACAGCACACAGTATAAACACAGCACAGAGTGTACACAGCGCACACACAGCACACAGTATAAACACAGCACACAGTATAAACACAGCACACAGTATAAACACAGCACACAGTATAAACACAGCACACAGTATAAACACAGCACACAGTATAAACACAGCACACAGTATAAACACAGCACACAGTATAAACACAGCAAACAGTATAAACACAGCACAGAGTGTACACAGCACACACACAGTGCACACACACAGCACACACATAGTACACAGCACACAGTATAAACACAGCACAGAGTGTACACAGCACACACACAGTGCACACACAGCTCACACACAGCTCACACACAGCACACAGCACAAACACCGCACACAGCGCATAGCGCACACAGCACCCAGCACACACACAGCGAGAGTGGGGCAGGGTGAGGTCACGTCGAAAGCGGATCAAGGGCAGGAGGTCATCACCAGGTCAAAGGTGACACGATGGCAGCAACAAGGGGCGCTGCAGTGGCTATGAGATGTTAACTACCTCGCCTGGTATACAGGAGGTCGTTGGATCGATCAGGACCCTGATGCCTGCTTTATATATATGGAGTTTGCGTCTGTCTCTCTCTCTCTTGGTGGTCGTGTGAACATTTTTATCCAGGGTCCTCCGGTTTTGCTCTACACATTTAGAATCAAAGTCACGCGTTTTAAGAGTATTTTGCCCGCTGCTATAAATAAACTTTATGGTGGGACCCCGGGGTCCCGAATTAACGGAAGTCAAAATCGTAATTAATGAATTTGTTTTTGGCGACTCCGTCCCACCGCGCATATAAACGCCGCGACCCGCCTGGCGCGGATCGTTGTTGTCGTGAGGAGGAATGTGCAGAAGAAACAAAACTTTGAAACTTTGATTAGCGCTTTCTGGTTCTTTCGGTAAAGTCACTTTACCGAAAGAACCAAGAAGATGAATCCCTGCAGTCACGAAAGCTTTAAATCGAAATGTGATTAGCGCGTCATATAGAGCTCGTCGAGAGGAATAGAACGCCGTATCGTTCGCCTTCAACAGACATAAAATGACGTCGCGACGCAGTTTGTGTGAGAGCCAGGGGCTTATGGGACCCCGGGGTCCCGCCATAAGGTTTAAATGTCCACGTGACGACAAGCCACTTCCGTTGGGCTATCATTTGCGGCGACCAGGATCGATTCTGACAGAAAGAGCTACACGCAGCCCAGTGGGCGCCTTACACCTGGTAACATAAACACCAATAAAACGTGACAAGGCGCTGCAGAAAGAGGGCGGCACGAAGGTCAAAGGTGAAGGGCGGGCGAGGGGCCACTCACTCGCGCTTGCGGCTCTTCCCGCCCGTGCCGTTGATGACGCGCATGGCTGAGTGGTACACCTCCTCCGCCTCCTGCAGACGCAGCCTCCTCGTCGCCTCCTCGTCGGCTGGGCCGAGAGACAGCGGGCGACACGACGAGGTCGGACGGTGCAAGCAGACCCGCGGTGTGCCAGTGTGTGTGTGTGTGCGAGTATGTGAGCGTGTGAGAGTAAAAGTGTGAGTGTGAGCGTGTGTATGTGAGCGAGTGTGCGCGTGAGCGTGTGACTGTGAGCGTGTGTGTGACTGTGTGAAAGTGTGTGTGAGCGTGTGTGCAAGTGTGTGTGAGTGCGTGTAAAAGTGTGTGTGTGGGTGTGTGTGCGATTGTGTGCGTGGGCGTGTGTGTGTGCGTGGTGACGTCACCACCACTTAGTGGCGAATGGCGGTTGTTGTTGTGCGTGTGTGGGTGTGTGTGTATGTGTGCAGATTTGCTGAGCATTTCTGAGGTCCTGGGGGAGGGGAAATCCCTCAGCCAGGAAAACATCGTGGCACAAAGTGGGGATGACCCTGTTGAGGCTGCGGTGCCTCAAATATTGGAAGAAGTCACCCCCTGTGAGTGGCTGGCTGAGGTGCCACCTATTGAGGAAGTACTGAAGGCGATCCAGAGTCTGAGACCAGGAAAGGCACCGGGCAGAGATGATCTCCCAAGCGAAATGCTGAGGGAGGGTGGCGTTTGTGCACAGACTGCCCTACATGACATCATAACAACAGTCTGGACCACTGGACGGGTTCCGCAGGATTGAAAGGATTCCCTGGTGGTCCCCCTCTTTAAGAAGGGAGACCGCACAGACTGTAACAACTATAGGGGCATCTCACTCCTCAGTGTGCCGGGAAAGGTCCTGGAAAAGAATATTCAACATCGCCTTGCTAGGCGCGCTGAGGAAAGGCTTGCGGAGCCCCAATGCGGTTTCAGGAAAGGGCGGTCCTGCACAGATGCCATATTTTCTGTCCGTCTGCTACAGCAGAGGTGTAGGGAATTCCAAAAAGACTTACATCTCTGCTTTATTGACCTGGTCAAGGCCTATGATACCATCTTAGGCCTGGGCTCTGGGTTGTTCTTCGTGCTTTCGGAGTCCCTGACCCTCCGCTTACGATCGTAAGGACCTTCATGATGGTGAGTGGGCCCGGGTAAAACTACGTGGCCGGGAGTCAGAGCCTTTCCCTGTACACCTTGGGGTGCGACAGGGATGTCCTCTGGCTCCCACATTATTTAACATCTATTTCGACTGCGTAGTTCGTGAAGCCTTCAATAGCTGTACCGGGGAAATTTCCATTTGGTACAGATATAATGGGAGGCTGATCGATGCCCGGATGCGGTCAAGGGATGGTTCCCTATTGCTCAACCACGTTATGTATGCCAATGATTTGGTAATTGCTGCTCACTCAGAGGAGAAGTTGGAGATGCTGCTGCTGAGCCTGGAGCGTGCCACTAAGAGGTGGGGCCTTACCATCAGCCCCACCAAAACTAAGCACCTACCTGGGTATTTTGTACCATCGGACACTCCACCCCCACAACTCCCAATCGGTGATGGGGCAGTTGTGGAGAGAGTGGAGAGTTTCCCATACCTGGGCAGTGTGCTCATGACCGGCTCCGGTTTAACAGCAGAGGTCTCACTCCGAATCAGTCGAGTGGCAATATCCTTTCATCGGTTGCGTAACGCTGTGTGGAAGCTACCTGGTCTGTTGCTCCGCACGAAGCTTCAGGTCTTCTCGGCCACGGTCATCCCCTCCCTTCTCTCCGCTTGCGAAATGTGGTCCCCCCTAATGGAGCATCTTCGCCGGTTAGAAACATTTCGGCTGGCCTGCCTACGATCCATCCTGGGTTTAACCAGGCTGGATTGTGTGAGGAGCTCACAAATCCTTGAAAGATCTGGGCAAAGTCCGATCGGTGAGCTCCTCCGGCAGGCAAGGCTGCGTTGGCTGGGTCATGTACCCCGCATGCCCAGTCAACGGCATGCCTAAACAGCTTTTGTTCGGCCGAATCGAGGGGGCTAAACGGGCGCGGCAGGGGCTAGAAAAGAGATGAAGTGACGTGGTCCAGGAGGACGTGGAGCTGAGTGGACTTGCCGATGACTGGTACCAGCGGTGGCAAGATCGGTCTCTGTGGAGGAGGCTCGTGAAGGACGCTACTGGGCAGTTGGAGGTACTCGCCCTTCAACAACAACGGAGGAGCGACACTGACAACAACGAGCGGAGCGCTGGGTGGCTAAAGCACAGCAAGTTAGCACAGTTGGGGGCACAGATGGTGCATCAGCCAGTCATCTCAGTCAGTCGACCCGTGGCACCTGGGTCTGCCCTGTGACCTCCTGCCAGCGGGCGTTCGACACTTTACGTGGCCTCAAGGTGCACATGGCCTGGCACAAGCGTCGTGGTGGCGTCACCGCCACTTAGTGGTGAATGGCGGTTGTTATTGTTGTTGTGAGAGTGTGTGTGTGCAGGCGTGTGTATAATAGTGTAGTGTGTGTGTGTGGGCATATGTGCGAGTGTGTGCGAGTGTGTGTGAGTGTGTGCAAGTGTGTGAGTGTGTGCAAGTGTATGTGTGTGCGCGAAGCAGGTGGCGGGCACTGCGCTGACCAGATGTTAACTACCTCGCCTGGTATACAGGTCATGGGTTCGATCCTGACCCTGACGATGCCTGCTGCTGTATATTTGGAGTCTGCGTCTCTCTCTCTCTCTCCCCGTGGTGAGATGTTAACTACCTCGCCTGGAATACAGGAGGTCATGGGTTCGATCCCGACCCTGACGATGCCTGCTGATGTATATTTGGAGTCTGCGTCTCTCTCTCTCCCGGTGGTGAGATGTTAACTACCTCTCCTGTTGTACAAGAGGTCGAGGGTGCGATCTTGACCCTGACGTCTGCTGTATATTGGAGTTTCTGTCTCTTTTCCCCCCAGATTTAGAATCAACATCACGCGTTTAGAATCAACATGGTTGCTATAAATGTCCACGTCATGCTGATGATGAGCCACTTCGCTGAGCTGTCATTTGTGATGGCCAAGTCGCTTCTGAAAAAGAGCCACGCAGCTTAGTGGGGCCTGACCTGGTAACAATAAAAAGTTTAGTTGAGAATCAGAATCTGTATTTAGACTGGAAGAGGAGGAGGAATCCGATGAGCTACGGAGCTCTTAGTCACAGATGTCCATGAAGGGGGCGGTGGTGAGAAAGTTACGACAGCAAACAATACAACAACGATAGCGGAAAGGTAAGCAAGTCAATCAAGTTGGATAAATATTAAAAATGTATAAAGCTAATTGCATAAGTATATTCAATCCTGCAGATTTTTCAACACTAAATGCAAGCCAGCGTCGGCGCGCCCCCGGGTGCCACTCACTCTCGCAGAAGCCCCAGCGGGCGTCGCGCCCGTAGTCGTAGGTGGTGGCGCACCAGAGGCGGCCGTCGTCGCGCCCGTCGGTGGTGCAGGCGGCGTACTCGCGGCCCAGGAAGAGGAAGGGGAAGGCGCAGGGGGCGCCGTCGCCCGTGCCGCCCAGCGCCCGCAGCACTACCGCGCACAAACACAAAGGTCCCCCGCGTAGCCTTCTATCAGACCGTCGGGGCAAGTGCCGTGAGCGAGCGGCGCCTACGAAAGCCGGCAAGGCACACGAGGGGGTGGGTGGCCAGCACAACGCCCGACCGCCTTTGTCTCCCCAGTGGTGATGTTACAGCAACAGCAGCAGCAACAACAGTAGAAGCAGCAACAGCAGTAGGAGCGCCGCACGCCGCCCCCTCGCACCTGGCGGGCTTTCCGTGGACGAGGAGCTGTCGTCACGGCTCCCACCATCGTCGCGACGAGGTGAAGATTCGCTCTTCTCAGGCGACGACTCCTCCTCGTCCTCGTCCTCCCCTGAAGCAATCTCCGTCTCTTCTTCGGCCGTCCCTCCCGGCCTCTCCTCCTGCTCCTCCTCCTCGTCGCTTCCGCCGCCGTCTGTCGGAGCGGTGGTACCGTCGGGAGTCACTTCCTCCTCCTGCTCCTCCTGCTGCTCCTCCTCCTCGCCGCCCTCCTCGCCGCCCTCGTCGCCGCCCTCGTCGCCGCCCTCGTGGGCGCCCTCCAGACCCCCGTGGGCCTCGCCGTCGCTCCTCTCGTCCGCACGGCCGTCATCGACTCCGTCTCCCAGGAGCCTCGCGTCGCTGCCCACGTCACCCTCATCCTGGCCATGGGGTCACGAGGTCACGTGTGAGGGACGCCGAGCCGGCACTGCCCCTGGCTTAAACGATTTTTTATTTGACCGAGAAGTGCAGTTATTTTTTCAGAAGCGACTTGGCTCACAGAGACCAGTGTGTGTGTGACGAGCGTGGTGTGTGTGTGTGTAACGAGCGTAGTGTGTGTGTGTGTGTGTGAGACGAGCGTGGTGTGTGTGTGTGTAGCGAGTGGTGTATGTGTGTAGCGAGTGGTGTGTGTGTGTAGCGAGTGGTGTGTGTGTGTAGCGAGTGGTGTGTGTGTGTGTAGCGAGTGGTGTGTGTGTGTGTAGCGAGTGGTGTGTGTGTGTGTAGCGAGTGGTGTGTGTGTGTGTAGCGAGTGGTGTGTGTGTGTAGCGAGTGGTGTGTGTGTGTGTAGCGAGTGGTGTGTGTGTGTGTGTAGCGAGTGGTGTGTGTGTGTACGCAGAGAGTAGTGTGTGTGTGTAGCAAGTGGTGTGTGTGTGTAGCGAGTGGTGTGTGTGTGTGCCGGTCCCCGGCTCACCTCCCCGTCCCGGTGCTCCGCGTCACCCCCTGCAACGAGAGAAACGGCGCCGGAGTCATGAGACCAGAGATGTTGACTACCTCGCCTGGTATACAGGAGATCGTGGGCTCGATCCCGACCCTGACCACTGTATACTTGGGGTGTGCGTGTCTTTCTCTCTCTCGTGGTCGCGTGGATCTTTCTCCGATCCTCCGGTTTTTCCCTCCACGTTTAGAATCAACGTCAGCATCACGCGCTCACAGTATGTGGCTGCTGCTCTCAATGTCCACACGACGATGATGACGAGACACTTCGCTGTCATTTGTGATCGCCACGTCGCTTCTGAACAATAGCTACGTAGCTCAGTGAGCCTTAACTGGTCAAATTAAATGAAAGATGTCATAGTTTAGCTTACAGTCTCAACGTGGCTCACTGGAGCAGCAGGGATATCGCATTGGAGATGTGTTGGTGTTGGTTCCACTTCACTCCCAAACTTCCCTTGCTTGTCACGGAGCAGAGGAGCAAAGCAGCAGCGTCCTCCCCACTGCCGGCCATATGTTACACCCCTGTGGTCCATATGTTACACCCCTGTGGTCCATATGTTACACCCCTGTGGTCCATATGTTACACCCCTGTGGTCCATATGTTACACCCCTGTGGTCCATATGTTACACCCCTGTGGTCCATATGTTACACCCCTGTGGTCCATATGTTACACCCCTGTGGTCCATATGTTACACCCCTGTGGTCCATATGTTACACCCCTGTGGTCCATATGTTACACCCCTGTGGTCCATATGTTACACCCCTGTGGTCCATATGTTACACCCCTGTGGTCCATATGTTACACCCCTGTGGTCCATATGTTACACCCCTGTGGTCCATATGTTACACCCCTGTGGTCCATATGTTACACCCCTGTGGTCCATATGTTACACCCCTGTGGTCCATATGTTACACCCCTGTGGTCCATATGTTACACCCCTGTGGTCCATATGTTACACCCCTGTGGTCCATATGTTACACCCCTGTGGTCCATATGTTACACCCCTGTGGTCCATATGTTACACCCTGTGGTCCATATGTTACACCCCTGTGGTCCATATGTTACACCCCTGTGGTCCATATGTTACACCCCTGTGGTCCATATGTTACACCCCTGTGGTCCATATGTTACACCCCTGTGGTCCATATGTTACACCCCTGTGGTCCATATGTTACACCCCTGTGGTCCATATGTTACACCCCTGTGGTCCATATGTTACACCCCTGCCGGCCACATGTTACACCTGTCACATGTTACATCTGTCACATGTTACACCTGTCACATGTTACACCTGTCACATGTTACACCTGCCATATGTTACACATGTTACACCTGTCACATGTTGCACTCGTCATGTTACATCTTTCATATGTTACACATGTCATGTTACACCTGTCACATGTTGCACATGTCATATGTTACACCTGCCATGTGTTACACATGTCATGTGTTACACCTGCCATATGTTACACCTGACATATGTTACACCTGACATGTGTTACACCTGCCATATGTTACACCTGCCATATGTTACACATGTCATGTGCTACACCTGCCATATGTTACACATGTCATGTTACACCTGCCATATGTTACACATGCCATATGTTACACCTGCCATATGTTACACATGTCATGTTACACCTGCCATGTGTTACACCTGCCATATGTTACACATGTCATGTGTTACACCTGCCATATGTTACACCTGCCATATGTTACACCTGCCATGTGTTACACATGTCATATGTTACACCTGCCATATGTTACACCTGCCATGTGTTACACCTGCCATATGTTACACCTGCCATGTGTTACACATGTCATATGTTACACCTGCCATATGTTACACCTGCCATGTGTTACACATGTCATATGTTACACCTGCCATATGTTACACCTGCCATGTGTTACACCTGCCATATGTTACACCTGCCATGTGTTACACATGTCATATGTTACACATGTCATGTGTTACACCTGCCATATGTTACACCTGCCATGTGTTACACCTGCCATGTGTTACACCTGCCATATGTTACACCTGCCATGTGTTACACATGTCATATGTTACACATATCATGTGTTACACATGTCATGTGTTACACATGTCATATGTTACACATGTCATATGTTACACCTGCCATATGTTACACCTGCCATATGTTACACCTGCCATGTGTTACACATGTCATGTGTTACACATGTCATGTGTTACACCTGCCATGTGTTACACATGTCATATGTTACACCTGCCATATGTTACACCTGCCATATGTTACACCTGCCATGTGTTACACATGTCATATGTTACACCTGCCATGTGTTACACATGTCATATGTTACACCTGCCATGTGTTACACCTGCCATGTGTTACACATGTCATATGTTACACCTGCCATGTGTTACACATGTCATGTTACACCTGCCATGTGTTACACCTGCCATGTGTTACACCTGCCATGTGTTACACCCCTGAGGTCGGGGGCCTATCGCGACCCACACAGCCGATGTGTGGGCGACATCAACCAGCGGCATCCTGATGATGCTTGCTGGTGGTTTTTAACTACCCAGCGAAACGTCGGACAACCCAATCGTTCAATGCGCGTCGCGCGGATCGCTCTGCCAACGACAGGAGCGGCGGCGGCTCAGGCGAGGACGACTCAGGCGAGGACGACTCAGGCGAGGACGACGACTCGAGCGCGAGGGCGCGTGTCGGGGTGGAGGCGGGTGGAGGAGGGCGTTGACGACACAACGCTTGGCAGCGTTGAAGCGCCGGTGGACCGAGTAATTCGCCTCCCCGGAGAGAGAGAGCGCGAGAGAGAGAGCGAGAGGCGGTCACAAACACCGGCCCCGTCAGTGCCCCCTCGCGTCGTGCCCGTCCGTGGTAACGTGGAATGGCCACAGGCGGCAGTGGGCCACGCGGCTCGCGCTGCGAAGCGGGCGACCCGAGTTCGACTCGCCGCTCAAGGCCCCCGGGGACGATTCGCTGAACCGGTCCCGAGCCTCCACCGCGGTCGACTCCCACTGGGGAGACAAAGGCGGCCGGGCGTGGCTGCTGCTGCTGCTGCTCGCTAGCAGCGCCCGCCGAGGCGTGGACACGGGGGGGACATTTGACGGCAGGAACTCATTCGGTGAAGTCATCGCGCGTGACTTTAGCGAAAGAACCGGAGACCACGGGGGGGGGGGGGGGAGACCACGGGGGGGGGGGAGACCACGGGGGGGGCACGCGGGGGGGGGGGGCACGCGGGGGGGGGGCACGCGGGGGGGGGGGCACGCGGGGGGGGGGCACGCGGGGGGGGGGGGCACGCGGGGGGGGGGGGGGGGCACGCGGGGGGGGCACGCGGGGGGGGGGGGGGCACGCGGGGGGGGGGGGGCACGCGGGGGGCTTCGTCGCGGAAGCAAAGCGGCCAGCAACAATGCGTCGCTCTGCGATGTTTGTGGCGCTGCTGCTGCTGCAGTAGCAGCATCCCAACCCCAGTGCGCGGGCACAGAGACTCGAGTTAAGTCCCGCGGTAGATCGCGAAGTTTAAACTTTCTCGCAGTCCCCGAATTAAACCGAGAATCTCCGCCCCCCACCCGCCCCGCCATCAACATCCCACCGCGGGGCCCTCGCCTGAGCGGCTCGCCGGAAGCCTAGAGGAGGCCGCCGGTAGGGCGACCTAAGGCAAAGCGGCGTCGCCACCCCCCCCAAAAGACGGGCTGGCGACGCCGGCCGCCGGGGCAGCGAAGGGCAGCGTGAGGGGCCGTGAGGGGCAGCGTGAGGGGCAGCGTGAGGGCAGCGTGAGGGGCAGCGTGAGGGCAGCGTGAGGGCAGCTGACCGTGCGTGGAGCCGCAGGGGGAGACGAGGAGCAGCAGCAGCAGGAGGGGAGCGGCGCGCAGAGCTCCCATGTCTGACGCGGAGTGGAGAGGAGGCTGCCGAGCGCGCATGCACCTCCACAAAGACAAAGCTCCCCCCCACCCCCGTGTAGCCTTCACAGACTGCAGGGGCAAGTGCAGTGAGCAGCGAGGAGCAGCCGCCTATCATGGCCAGGAACGGCACGAGGGGTGGGGGCCAGCACCGCGCCCGGCCGCCTTTGTCTCCCCAGTGACGATGTTTACTACACACTGAGTCGACCTAGGGGAGGCCCATCAAGAGATATCAATCGTCACCGGTGGCCGTGAGCCGGAATCGAACTCGGGTCGTCGGGTTCGTAACGCGGCGGCGCTAACCGCTGCCCCACCGCTCCCCCCCCTCCACCACCTCCGAATCCACCACGAGATCAGATCTGGCACGCCCAGCGGCCAGCGACAAACAGCACTCGCGAGGATGCTGAGAGCTGCGAGTTGACGCCTCGTAAGTTTTCGTTCAGATCGCGAAAGTAAAAGAAGAATGTGTTGTCGTGCACCCTGCCTCCCTCCACCCGACACAGCCCATCGATAAAGTCGTCACGTGGCCAGGAGATGCTAACGACCTCGCCTGGTGTGCAGGAGGTCGTGGGCTCGATACCGACCCTGACGCCCGCTGCTGCTGCTATTTGGAGTTTGCGTGTCTCTCATCATCATCATCACGGTGGCTACGAGATGCTGCTATTTGGAGTTTGCGTGTCTCTCATCATCATCATCACGGTGGCTACGAGATGCTGCTGCTGCTGCTATTTGGAGTTTGCGTGTCTCTCATCATCATCATCACGGTGGCTACGAGATGCTGCTATTTGGAGTTTGCGTGTCTCTCATCATCATCATCACGGTGGCTACGAGATGCTGCTGCTGCTGCTATTTGGAGTTTGCGTGTCTCTCTCTCCCCGTGGTCGCGTGGGGGTTCGTCTCTTGCCTGCACATTGAGGCTCAACGTCGCCACGCTTGCAGAGTGGCTGGCTGCTGCTGTAAATCTTGACGACTTAAAGCTTCGTGACTGCGGGAATTCATCTTTGGGTCTTTCGGTAAAGTCACGTAGATAGGTTCAAAGAAAATAACAAAAATAACTACGAAACGTCGAAATTCAACGGGTTTAGACTTAAGTTGACTCCCGTGTCGTGGTCGAATCTTGTAATCAAGAGTTCGTCTACTTCCTGTTGTCCAATCAATTCCAAATGAACTCAGATCCGGTGACGATGCGTGCCCGTATCTAAATCGGCATCAAATCATCAATTAATTGCCTCCTTTCAAGCAATAAAAAATGTTGCATGGACGGCTTATTAACTATATATTTTGTGTTGGCAAAAAAACACTGTAGATTGTGTGGAGTCGGCTGGCACAAGAAGCAGGCGCCAGTGACGCACTTCTCGGCTGCGAGTTAAACGAAGTTGTTAATACAACCGTTGTTTTAATAAAACAACTCTTTGAGGAGTTTATTTTTGTATTTTCTTTGAACCTATCGACGTGACTTTACCGAAAGACCCAAAGAATGTCAGCCACACGACGATGGCGACGACGACGATGATGACGACGACGACGATGATGATGACGATGATGATGATGCTGACGACGATGATGATGCTGACGACGATGATGATGATGACGACGATGATGATGCTGACGACGATGATGATGATGACGACGATGATGATGATGATGACGATGATGATGCTGACGATGATGATGATGCTGACGATGATGATGATGACGACGATGATGATGATGACGACGATGACGACGATGATGATGACGATGATGATGATGACGACGATGACGATGATGATGATGACGATGATGACGACGATGATGATGACGATGATGATGATGACGACGATGATGATGATGACGACGATGACGACGATGATGATGACGATGATGATGATGACGACGATGATGATGATGACGATGATGACGACGATGATGATGACGATGATGACGACGATGACGATGACGATGATGATGACGACGATGACGACGATGATGACGACGACGATGACGATGATGATGACGATGATGACGATGATGATGATGATGACGATGATGATGATGACGATGATGACGATGACGACGATGATGACGATGATGATGACGATGATGACGATGATGATGATGACGATGATGACGACGACGATGATGATGACGATGATGATGATGATGACGATGATGATGACGATGATGATGATGACGATGATGATGACGATGATGATGACGATGATGATGCTGCTAATCCCACTTCGTCAGGCGACCATTTGTGGTTGCCAGGTCGCTTCAGACAAATGAGCTCACAGCTCGGTGCGCTTCACCTGGTGAGATCAACAACACAGCCCAGTTTTATTTGTATGTTTATTTTAAAAGTGATTTGTTTCATCTTTGCACTCCTTCTTGTGTGTGTTGTTGTAACGTTCTGACCCCGCGCTTCATAGCTCATCGGATTCCTCCGGGATAAACGAATGCGATTGTGAAATGCGACCTCGTCCTCGGTGGCGTGAACTCTCAGCCGCGGCAAGGGCGGTGCATGTCGCGTCGCCCGCACACCGCCTCGCGCCTCCAGTGGGGGTGGGGGTGCTCGTGACACGGCGGCCTCCCATTGGCTGCCCGTGTTGTGATGACGTCACATTGCCAACACAGAGCCGTGAATGACCTCTTGCTGATGAACTCTGCTCTTAATGTTGAGTTATTTGATACCTACGTGACTTTATCGAAAGAACCAAAGAGTTCGGCTCCTCATGTTGAGTGCTGTCCTCAAAGACATTAGCTTCGTGAACGAGTTTCGTTGGTTTTAGTTGGTTTAAATTAACTACCCAAAGACTACCCCAAGAAATGCAATGCACAGCCGTCCACCCCTTATCAGTGCCCGCCCCCATCACAGCCCAACTCGGACCCTAGTGGTCACCCCGTGCCCTTATACATGTCAACGTTCATCCCGCAAAGTCGCATCGCAAGCGAGAAACACAGACAAATAGCCAATTGTTTTTGCCCGTATTGAAACGGCTCTCCGCCGTATGAACCTCAAGACTGAATTTCCCTGCACAAGAATAGGGGGTAAGCCGTGTGGGGGTGACAGCGATGGGGACAGTGGAGACGCCCTTGCCACTTGCATTGGCAACGCTTTGGCAAATAAACTCGGTCTTAATCGTGAGTGCTTCTGTTAATGAGGTGTTTGTACATGAGCTTCGTGGACTAGTTCGTTCATTCGCTTTGTTAGTGGGGTGAAACGAATTACCCCAAGAATTGGAACCGGTGACACAAAGTCTTTGCCCATTGCAGCAGCAACGTTTTGGAATCACCCCACTGTCTCCCCTAATATCGTAAATCTGCCTTCAGAATTCACCCTCAAACAGAAGATCGGTGCTAGATACAGAAGCCACATTTGCAAAATGTGATTTGTAAATGTAATCCTTAAACATGTATTGAGGGTAAAATTTTAATATGCAGATGTCACTTGTATTGAGGGCTGGCTACTTGTGTTTGTCTTGGTGTGGTCTGGGACTGTTCTTGCTGTCGTTTTACTGCCTTGCCCAAGCGTGGGATTTGACGATGCGATTAGAACTTGTATACTTTATTTATTTAAGGGACACCACAGTGGCTAGATGTTCACAACCTCGCCAGGTATACAGGAGGTCATGGGTTAGATCCCGACCCTTGACGCCTGCTGCTGTATATTTGGAGTTTGCGTGTCTCTCTCTCTTCCCGTGGTCGCGTGGATTTTTCTCCGGCTCCTCCGGTTTTTCCCTGCACATTTAGAATTAACATCGCCACGCGTTTAAGATTATTAATATTATTATTTGGCTGCTATAAATGCCCACATGATAAGCGACTTCGTTGAACTATCATTTGTAACAAGGTTGCTTGTAGCTCAGTGGGCTAAACCTGGTAAATAAAAAATAGTTTAGTTACAAATAATTACCACGGTGACATCTGTGAAACTACTGGACATCTGTGAAAAATAACTTCATAGCTCATCGGGTTCCTCCTCCTGCAGTCGAAATGCAAATTCTGATGATTCTGATTTCAAGACTTCTCAGGAGGAACCTGCCCAGATTT